ATATAGCCCACGTTTTAAAGAATAATAAAATGAAACGATGTTAATACACACAACGTCTGACATGAATATATACCCAATAATTGAGGTTTATCACGCAAATTAAGTAACGCATGTCTAGTCTACTCTAAGGTAGGCTAATGCATAAAAAGTATGATGCTCGCTGGTAAGGATCATTGAGATAATATATTATTAACATGTTTGATAAAAACTAATAGACTCAAACATAGACTTATAAATAAAATAAAATAAATAAATAAATAAAAAAGAATAGGTAGCCTATATCAAATAAATACATAGCCTATGTTATAACATTGTTCCCGTCTTCATTAGCCCAGTAGGAGCAGAACTGTAGAACGTTAAACCCCATTTCATTTCATTTTATAACATTGTTGCCATAGCTAAGATATAAATATTGTGAACTTCATTTCCCAGATGAAGATCTGTAAATAAAGGATTCCGAAAAGTTGGAAGTCAAGGGTTTACTTTGAAAAATAAAATAAAAAAATAAATATAACACGCAGAAAATAATTTTAGGCTTAGTACTTACAATATAATATACTATTAAGGAATGAGTTATCCGTAAATGAATTGTGTTAGATGTCTATTAACATGTTACTCTCACTAACAGCTGACACAGCACTGATATGTAAAGTGAAATAGTAGCTATTTAGGTTATAAAATAGGTAACACCCATGCATTTTCAATTTTGATTTGCTTTGTCTGATTACGAATATAGAGGAGCGTCTGAGGCAAATATGTACCGGAAGCTTAACCATCGTCTGCTTTTTGACGTCACCGGCACTCGTCACTGATGACAACGCCATGTAGGCTATAGCTATATATTTCACACCTTGACGACATTTCAATGGTGTATTGTTGACAAAACCATGCATACGATTGCCCTATACGCACCCGTCTGTGAAAAGGCTTATCCATCATCGATATGGGTTGAACATACATGTATAGTAACAAAGACACGCATCCTCTCTATTGAATCTATGTAGCCTACACCATTATTCAATTGTCTGAAAAACTCGAAGTCTGCCCAAATGATTCGGTAATGAATAGTGACCATCACTCCTTTTATTTACATAAATGAGGATATCCATAAATTCGTGATATCCACATTACAAAGTTCGCAAACATTTTCTTTATATGATTACTTTAATAAAAAAAACGCACTTTCACAATAATGTTAGAATGATTATAACTGGGCGTTAACGAGGCTGTGTTTATTTAATCTGTTATGTTTATATTAATTCAATGATTTGTCGTCAATGACCCCTAAGATTTGTTTCATCTTAAGATCCCGATTAAATATTTTTAAATTTTTGGTTTTGTTCTATTAGGTCAAAAACAATATTTCGCCATGTATCGTGACTATACCCTAATATTGTTTCACCCCTATATATATATGCATTCATATTTTTGAAAAAGGGTAAATTATGCTTAGTTGTAGATCTTATTTCAACCGGTTTTAGCTAACCAAATAATACAGTTTAATAGTGTGATAATCTTGGCTATAGACAGTATTCGTGTTTTCTATTCAAATTGTTTCTCTCTTGCTCAATTGTTTAATTATTTAAGTCCTTGCTTCAACTTCTTTAACGAATGCAATATTAAAATATTATCTTTTTTACATCATTCAACAATCATACGTATCGTTTATTAAGACGCGGGGATTCGCCTTTTCTAAAACAAAGGAAATTGTAATAGTGTGATAATCTGTCAATCGCTAAAAGATTAATGAAACCACTTTAAGATTAACTGGCTACTAAGTCGTTAACCAGTCACCTCTTTTCAAGCCGACATTGAGTAACGACGTTAATTCCATCTATTGTTTTTGTTTATTTATTATATTGTTTAATAGTTTTGTCTTATTCATGTATCGCTATGTCAGTTTTAGTTACGGCATTTACTTTAATCCTAGTATCTGATTTTCCTGAATAACAAATTTGTACATTGACGGCAGTCGCCAGTTAGCGTTCTTCACTAATAATAAGTGCAGTAACTAGCCTGTCAGTCACCATCATGGCCTTGCTTCGCGAACGAAGAACGATCAAAGGGGTGGTCCACATCGGCTGCAGGCACGCACATGGCTAACTAGCCCCATTCGGAACAGGCAATCCCGACTACAGCGGCTGCAGGTGAAGTTCAGGTCTAGATTTGATGCTGGTGTTTCTCGGTTCTTATTCTTCAGACTAGTCCTGTAAGAATCTTCAAAGACGGAGACAGTCTGGTGTGTCGTGTATCGCCATACCTCGTGGTGTGCAGCAAGATTCGATCACTGGTAGTGCTCAGTGAGACAGACGCCGAGTGCCTCTTTAAACGTGTCTTTGTATCTATTTTTCGGCGTCCCTTTGTCTCGCCATACAGATCGATCTTAGGCAGCCGGCGGTCCTCCACCCTGAAGACATGCCCCCCACCCCCAGCGTAGTTGAGACATGCCTGCTCCAGGACTTCGACGACAGAGCCCTCCGGTACTTCCGTCTCCTTCAAGCTTACCCCAAGCCAAAAGAGCTGGGTAGCCTCTGCGAAGCAGGATGTCAAGCGCTGCAAGGCTCCTTCTGTGTGGGTGACGAGGGCAGCATCACCGGCGAACAGAGGGTTATGGATCATTTGCTCCATGGTCTTCGTGTGGGCCTGTAATCGCCTGAGATTGAAAAGACTGCTATCGAGGCAATAGCGTATGTAGACAGCGTCTTCGTCGTCAATGTCCTCAGTGGCCCGCTTCAGCATCATGCTGAAGAAGACGGCGAAGAGAGTCGATGCCAGGACACAACCCTGTTTTACTCCGTTGACGATGGTAAAGGGCTCTGAAAGGTCATTGCTAAGTCTGACGTGACCACGCTGACAGTCGTGCAACTGGATGACCATGCTGAGGATTTTCCACACACCCTGTCTGCTCACAGTGTCGAACGCCTTAGTTAAGTCGACAAATGTTACGTAGAGTCCTTTATTCTGCTCTCGGCACTATTCTTGGGAGTTGCCTGAGGACGAACACCATGTCTGTAGTGCCCCTGTTGGCTCTGTAGCCACACTGGCTCTCTGGGAGTTGGTCACCAGTCTGTTCAGGAGCATCCGTGCAAAGATTTCTCCCGCGATTGAGAGTAGGGTTATTCCCCGGTAGTCGGAGCAGCCCGACTTTTCTCTTTTGTTTTTGTACAAGGTGACAATGACTGCATCACGGAGATCTTGCGGTAGTATACTCTGCTTCCAGCAACAGACAAAGAGTTCGTGGAGCTTCTCGAGTAGTGGTGGTCCACAGTGTTTCGAGATCTCTGGTGGTATCCCATCAACTCCAGCTACATTGCCACTCTTCAGTTGTTAAATAGATTTGATGATTTCTTCCAAGGTAGGTAGCTCATCCAGCTCTGTTTTTACTGGATGTTGAGGGACACGGAGAATCGCTGAGTCCTGGACAACTGTATGACCATATATGTATCTTTATGTTCCGGTTTATTAAAGAATAATTTTATCCTAAGTGATAATTTACACCTCTAAATTAAAGTATTGGATGTTTAGATCGTTTTATATGTCTGTAACCAAATAATACTGATAAATAAATACCTATCATTCTAGAACCCAATAGGACAAATAAACCCCCTACGTAACATATCTACCAAATCCTTATGGAGTCAGCCATCTTCAAGCAACTGACCTAACAACCCATCCACCCTGTTCATGGTGCCCCAGACCCACTCGTGTCAACTAGGACTGAATAACCACAATCTAGACCACCCGATGATTTCAATGAAATCGACCAAGTAGGTAATGCAAAACGTAGACAAGGGATATATATAGCATGCGTGTCTTATAATAATATTATCCCATGTTGTGCAACCCACGTCGTCATTTACCCCCCCCCCCCCCAAAAAAAAAAAAACCAACAACAAAACAAAACAAAACCCTGAACATATGAATTATTAGCCGCCGACAAGTACAATCATTGAATGAATCATAGACATAAGAACCTATCCATTGGACATCAGAAATGGACAAGTACCCGCAACTAAAAGGACAAACCTCAACGCAGATACATGCCGGCATGGTCTCCACTTTTAGAGGATGATGTCCCTTCCTTTTCCACAGAATTTTAGAGCGGCAGAGAGACCCTTGACGGCGACCCGCGTCCTGGAAGGCGATCAACAGCAGCCTTTCAAGAAAACATTACCTGGGTGCATACCATGGTGATGACTGATCGACGATTGGCTACTCGACATATTGCCGGTGGTGTGGGCATCTCTCATAAGAGGGTTGAGCACATTATCACTGATGACAAAAGTTTCTGGAAGATGGGTATTTTTTCGGCCGGATTTGTAACAATGGATGAGACCGGAGTTGGTCACTTTCAATCAGAATCAAAAATTCGGTCTAGGCAATGGAAGCACACAGAATCGCCAGCCGCACAAAAAGCCATGTCAGTTCCTTCTGCTGGAAATGTGATGGCTTCGGACTATGTAGAAAAATAAATGGAAACCATCGACTTTGTACAGGTCTTTCACAGATAGGCTTAGAACTTTTCAGCCAGCCCTCTACCAAGAACGATGAAAGTGCGACTACATAAAACAAGAAGACAAAATGCCAATTCTCAAACTCCACTACTGTGCTATAATATAGCCTATAATATGATAACACGCGGGTGTGCGCGTTAAAGGTTCACTGACAATGCAAAATTGTATTGTAAGTAATATATTTTATTTCGGACTTCTGTATCCAAGGACCTCTATTCTGTGTTGGAAAATAATATGCCAATCCTGACATTTATTGGGATAAGTTTGAAAAACGATGGTGTGACTGTGCCCTGACCTTCATGTCAAGAACTATATCAAATTGTGTGGCTAGGTCATGAGATAATGAAAATAACAGACGTGACGTGCGTAAATCATGCATTCATTTTGGGCAACTCCATTTTCTCAAAATTGCGTGAGTGATAAAAGTAAAAGTTTTTCTTGAATGAATAAAAAGAAACGTTTTGACATGTTCTTTAGAAATGATTAATGTAATCAACGCTACTCTCTTTGCACTTACTCAAGTTATTGTTATTGTGACTGACGTAATGCTGTTATAAAACTGTGATATGCAAACACACAGCCAACAATCTGGTCAGTACATTGTTTATATTCTTATTTCTTAAAAAAAAGTAGCAAAATTGCACCGAAAATGAAATATATGAGCAATTTACGTGCACAGGTTATAAAGATTATTATTGATTAGCGCACCTTCTAAACTTATTAACGACGAATTTACAAGCGCCTAAAGCAACGATTTGTATATGTCAAATGTTCAGCTGAACAATTTATCGAAAACAAATGAAATGAAATGGGGGTTTAACGTCAGACCCCCTCCCTCTCCCAATAAAACAAATGGAATGGAATGGGATTTAACGTCCTACTTTATTGCACCAACATTAATCGAAAACAAAACCTCCCCCCGTGCCCCCACCTCTAAAAATAAAATAACGGTAGTTGATGCATCACAGTCTGCTGGCGAAATCTGCCTTGTATACACATAAATATTGAATGGTGAATTTTACCATGCAGATTAGAATCAATCGAAACCCGATAGATGATGGGTTTGAAGAGGTTAACTTATTTGATTAAAATATGCCTATTATAATGTTTAAAATATTACCTGTCAAATATTTTAGTATTCATATTAGTTTTGATGTTTTGACATTCGTTATTCTGTTATTAAAGATAACCTTTCTCCCAAGGTGTTTTAAAAATTCCTCGCGAATCACATAATTTTCAGGAGTTCCTTTCTATTTAAGGTAATTTAATGTTGATTTACAAGATCACGATCCTCAACCACACACCCTGTTGCCGGTAACTTTGACAACAAACTCAGACAGTTGGAAAACAGATTGGAAAAATGTGTCACGGATTGACAGGTATGTACTTATTTCAAATTTAAACTTTATGTCCCGTTTCCTTCTGTTGCACTGATGAATTTGTAAGGGTTCGATTATTAACAAAGTTCTCAATGCACATACATGTAGATATATTTTAACAGCTTATCACAACAGAGACTGAAATGGAAAATCTAGCAACTACCCGATCTCCAGGCAAAACGATCACATCGTATGTTGGTTAATAATTGTGATATACGCAATTAATTTTGAACGGTAAACATATTTCTGTTGTCGGGAACCATACATTTGTTTTTCCCCATTTGTTCGCATGAAACAAGTGATTGAGGTAATACTTTGTGTATAGGAAGAAGATGTTTTGCAGGTGAGGATCCAGCGTCAAAGGTTAATTTGCGGGTACAGGACCTGAATTGGTAGGAAAGGGCATCCACGGCGTTCCACGTTTTTTCAGGGAACCACGAACTTATTCATGGACTTCGCGCCTTTTGGCGTTCGCTAATTGTCACTACAACATTTTAATATGGAAATTTGAGATGTTTGCATGGGACGACTGAACTGAAGAAGAAATTTGGTAACCAAAAGGAATAAATCGACATATTATAAGAAAACATATTGTCGTGAAAGGTTCATAATTTCTGGAAATCTAAATATTTGACCTGAGAATAATGTATTCGAATACTAAAATCAGCATTCGAAATGACCACTACTTTAAAATACACTTTAAATGGAAAACCAAAGTAAACAGACAACCAATATAATGACCCCATGATGTAAATGAATGAGAGTTGGTAGAATTTGGTGGGTAGTATTTAAAGCAAATTCAGAAAATAATTTTAACATAAAGTAAGCAATCAGGCTTTTTGTACCTTATATAAGATGTTATTTTGTATCAGAATCGTTTTACGATTTAATGTCAGATGTCAAATGTTTTCACAAGCCAGTAGGCTACTTTTGAGACGGATGTCACCCCTTTGAGTAATTCATAAGTTAAAAAATAAAACAAATATTTACTTACTAAAAATCCATTAAGTAAGGTGGCCCATAATGGGGGAAAACGCCGTTCTTTAAATTCGCTTTGTCCCAAAAGATATAATAGACAGGTTACTGTGTTTGTATGTCAGTAAAGAAACAATTTTATTAATAAAGAAAAAATTGTTATCTATAATAACCAAATGTATATTGTACTTGAATTTTATTTGGCGATTGCCCGAAGCTTCTGTGTAAGATTATGATTGGGTGGGATTTTCAAGATTTTTTCACACGTATATAAGAAGTTTGATCTAAAAATATGAACATTAAATTCACACGATACGCTATCTTGTTACAACACTAACCAGGGCTAAATGTGGAGTTTGTAAAAACAAACTGTTAACAAATGGGTTAACAAAGATTGTTTACTAATGTACCCGCGGTCGGATTATAACCTTTAGGGCCCCAAATACACCACTAAGTACCGAAGACTAAATCACCCTTCAATGTAAACGCCTCTGTATTTCCCATCTAATTTTAGAGGCGTTAGCCCTTGGCTTTACAAAGATTTTTTCTATGTGATTTTTTTTTATGCTTCAAGGTGTTTAATTAAATTTTGATTTGCACGTTGCTTCTTATCCCAAAAGGGATGCGGGCCGTTGGTGACAGGAGTGATGTCGATATACGCCCACCGGGTTTACCTTTTGGATGGAACAGTATTGTCAAACGATGAAAAATGAAAAAGATTTTTGTTATCGATGGGCTAAGATCTCCAAAATACTAATGGCTTTTATGCGCGCTTTTAATTTGAACATAAAATAATATTGCACAAAAACGAAATGCCTGAAAAGTGAAATTATCCACAACGGCATTTGATTACTAATAAGTGATTGTAATGATCGAATGAATTGCGATCGTCGACAAAGGAAGTATTGGACCAACGAGTAATTTCTTCCATTGATGACAATGACAGTATTGTGCTTTAGTCTGTTTGCTTGTAATTGTTTATTCCTACTAAATAATCTCCGATCCTTAAGGGTGGGGGGATCACGTGGCTAAGTGGGTAAGACGCTAGCTCGCTAGCCTGAAGGTCGGATGTTCGATCCCTGCATTGGCCGAGAAAGTTCATCCAGATTTTCCGACGTGGTTCTCCCTTGTCAGTGATGCAGGACGGAGGGGCTGACAAGGAAAGCTGTCTAGTCGTTCGGATGGTACGAAAAACCGAGGTCCCGTGTACACATTGGCGTGCACGTAAAAGATCCCTTGGCAGTTGGAATTCGATATAAGAGTAGGCCGTAGTGCCGCTGTCCGGGCAAAATTTCCCTCATAGCACACTGTATGGCGTATGCCTGTCTTCATTAGCCCAGGTTAGGAGCAGAAAAGTAGGACGTTAAACTCCATTTCATTTCATTTCACTTAAGGGTGGGGTGGGGTGGGGCGATGAACCAGTTCAGAGAGAAAACATTTGATCAGCATACCGAGGCCAAAATTTTAGACTATACCCACCACCACAGTCACGAATGGATACAAAGGGTAATGAAATGAAATGAAATGGGGTTTAACGTCCTACTGTTCTGCTCCGAACTGGGCTAATGAAGACGTGCATACGCCATACGGTGTGCTATGAGGGAAATTTTGCCCGGACAGCGGCACTACGGCCTACTCTTATATCGAAGTCTAACTGTCAAGGGATCTTTTACGTGCACGCCAATATGTACACGGGACCTCGGTTATTCATCCCACCCGAACGACTAGACAGCTGTCCTTGTCAGGTCCCCCGTCCTGCATCACTGACAAGGGGGAACCACGTCGGAAAATCTGGATGAATTTTCTCGGGCAATGCAGGGATCGAACACCCGACGTCTAGGCCAAATTACTTGAACATCGCCATTTTAAGCTTTGGGACGCCATATTGAAAGATCTGATAACGCAAACAAGGGTAGAGCTTGAACTTTGTCATCATTATCTATCTTTTCCGGGCCACGTGCTTTAAACATACATTATGCGAGAGCTAAATCTGCCTATTGCAAGTCTTTATTTAGGCTTCAGATTATTACTTAGACCTTTATTTACACGACAAGCCCAGAATCAACTCTGTAGACCCACGGATAGCTTGGATACAGTTTGGATTTAAACAGTCGTCAATTTAAAATTAAATCAATAAATGGCGTACCAAGCTAACGTTTACCGTTAGTCGCTGATGTCACTACCGGAAACTGGCGATGAAAGGCCTGCCAAGAGAGGCTACCATAGCCATTGAGCATGTTACTTGATAATCGAGAATTGTGAGTGGAGTTATCGTCTGTCAATCAAACGATCGCCAATTCTCATAGACGGTGCAATTGATGCCTATTTCTAGTCCAAACTTCCAATAGTGACAATTCCGTTCAGGACAAAGTAATTTCACTGAAATTTTCAACATTTTCTTTTTTTATCATCTATTTTTGAATTATTATAGCAAGAATAGCAAACTCTTTATAAAACTCTTAACTAATTTATATAAAAATATGTTATTCAGAAAAATAAAATATAATAAACGATTTATATTCCTTATGTTTCCACCCTGAATCAATGTAGCAGAGTGGGAATTGTTGCTTTATTAGGCCCATCATGAATATGAACGCGGGTGATCGATTTCACAGAGGGTTGATAAATTGTTTTGAAAATAATACTGTGAATTAAGTTATTTTTTTTCCTGAATAGGGATTATGGATCAGACATACACGTTTGTGAACCCTGGCTGTCCGGCAATTGATATACGATTTCAGTAGTTAATTGACGTACAAGGTGTAAATACGGAAACATTTCACAGAGCTTGCGAGAAGAAAAAAGTTTGCAGGCAGGTGCGTCTTATGGCTGGGGTAAGAGAGAATCATATTTTTAAAGCTGGGACAGGAAATGAAGTTTGCAACTGCCTGAAGCGATACATACATTTTATTTTAAAAACATAGCGTTGCCAGGGTCAGAGGCGTAGCCGTGAAATATATATTGGGGGAGTCCGCAAATGAAATTATATAAAATGTTGAAAATCTGTTCAGTCATCTGTAAACACTGTTTTGGCATATTTTACGGGGTTAAACTAAAACATCACACCAATACAATGTTTGTCATGTTTAAGTCAGGGGGTGCCGTATTCATATTTTTTTCATGAATTTTACATATTGAATGTTACGCTTGAGTTATGTACAACACGACAAAGAGAGTTTAGTAGGGGAATTTTTATGAGGAGGATCCAAATGAAACAAACCTTGATCACATAACTTTAGTTTATGAGGATGCATATTTGACAATCACCTTGTTAACTACAATACTATATACATATACACATTGACATCTACAAGAAAGTTGTATAGATATTTAAAGTATTCTGTACATTTTGTGTATTATAAATGGATTTCAAAAAGTAAACATAAGTGTATGTGTTTTAATTTGTACATTGTTTTATACAAATAGAATCTTAACTAATCCTAATAATTGTTGTAAATAAATAGGAGTTAGGGCCTACTATGTAAATGTTGGGGGGAGGGGGTCCAAGTATATTCAGCCCCCCTCCCCCCAGAAAAACAATTTTGGTGGGGGCGGACCCCCCCCGCCATGTGTGACGCCCATGGCCAGGGCAACTGACAACCTTTCTTTGAACGGAATATGAAAACTCTTGAATCAGACTATATCCTTCGTATTAAAATATTATACAGCTTTATAAATATTATACAGTCTGTTCTCTACTCATGTCAGGGGTTCAGTAATGTTGACTAACTAACCCTAGTTCTAATGACGTCAATTACCAGTCGCAGATTAGAGACCCTTTCTTCAAGAATCGCAATTAAATGAATTGACGTAATTTTATTAGAACACATAACTATAGCCTGTGGATAAAACAACCGAAAGTGAGACTGAATTATTTTTTACCGGGTTTTAAGTTTAAGGGTTCACCGATAATGCGATTTTATGCAGTTTATTCTCTCTTGAAACTTCTTTTACGGAACTTCTATTAATGCCTTTTTAAAATTGACTTTTATATATATTAAAAAAAATAATATTGTTTGGTGTAAACTGTCATCCCCGTTAATTAGTTATTATACCAAACCCTGGAATTTTTGGGTCTTCGAGGACAGGAAACCCTTTTGCACCCGCTATATTTCATTTGGTTTGAGTTCAATAGACACAATAGATTTGGACAAAACCTTTTTGGACAAATGTCACCGACAAATCTTCACCTCTCCAAAAAATACTTATTTTACTTATATTTCCTTTATTATAAGAGTAACTGTCACAATGAATACATGAAATAATTGTCCTATAGGTATTGGGTTTGGTGTCATTTGGTTTGAGTTCAATAGACACAATAGATTTGGACAAAACCTTTTTGGACAAATGTCACCGACAAATCTTCACCTCTCCAAAAAATACTTATTTTACTTATATTTCCTTTATTATAAGAGTAACTGTCACAATGAATACATGAAATAATTGTCCTATAGGTATTGGGTTTGGTGTCATAATGGCCTTATGTCTGGAATGAGTAGACTGGATTACAATATTACACAAATAAACGTAGATTAGCAACCTGTAGCTAGTTTGTTCATACAACTGCGCAGCCACACGTTTGCTTAAATATATATGGTGCATGCAAGCAGAAAACGAGACGATATTCGCAATCTTTAGGTTTTCTTACGTACATTTCTTCACTTTTTCATTTACCCTATATAAAAATTCCTTAACGTGAGTTACGTTGACATTTGAAACCGGTTCAAACACAATACACCCATTTCTTCATTGGTACGGAGGTAAGTGCATGCAAAATGTATATTTATTTATATATTAATGCGAACTATTGGTTTAAACACCGTTTTTGTTGACATTGTCCAATATCATCAGTAACCTATATCTCTAGGATACAGCCTGTTAGGGGTCCCAATTGAAGCTGACCTTACTTTGGTGCGCGTTGGTTTTTTGTTTTGGTTTTTCTGGTGTCGCGTCCCAATCTTCTTTCTGTTCCAAATTCATACCACCTCTTCCATGGCTATCCCCCCCCCCACTTTTTCTTTTATATTTTATTGTCGTTTTTTTTTTAATTTTTATCACTTGTATACAATTAATCTGAATAAATACTGTTTAAATCAAATGAAATTTTGTTCAAAAACATAATCTGAAAATGACAACCGATCGCATAAGCTACAAAATATGCAAAATGCACGGCGCTATTTCTAGAGAAAAAAAACCGAACAAGAGCAAATGCACTCCGCCAAGAGAGACAGAAAAATCAGTCCACTAGACATGGTTACATTTTTTGAGGTTTTACACGGTGTCTCCAGACACTCTCAAACATTTTTTTATATGTCATTTCACGCGGACAGGATATTTCTCGAATTTAAAAGGGTTTAATTTAAATGTTGTCAAGATGGCGCTACTTCTAAAACTTAACGAAATCAAGTCAAATTTGCATATCGAAAATATTTGACAAAAGCGCGTTTTTGTAATTACCAGAATGGATATGTGCATGGCGTACGTGTATAAATATAGTTTATACACACCGCTAACATGTATAATATTTGATTAAGTGTTTATAACCACGTGTTTCAATCGATTGTTCTAATTTTATTAAAACTCTATAAAAACAAAGTGGCTAAATATCGAACTCTGTATTACACCACTGACATACCAATTACACATTGTGTCCCCATTTTATTTATCAACACAAGCCTTAAAACAACATGACTGCTAGTGCTATATGAGGTACAATAATTCTTGTTTTTAGATTGAACGACCTGTCGTCCCATCACAACCACCCCCGCATACAATTTTCTATCACCGTTTACGAACTTTATTATGATACTATGCATAAACTATTCAGTATAGTTACAAAATATTGTACAAATTATTTACTTCAATATATACGAAAGAAAATGTTCAGTCGTTTCATATACAGATTTGCTCATCCATTTTTATACCCGTTCGTTGTGTTCATATATCCATCTCGTAGATCTGAAACAAGTATAATACAATTAAAATTTAATTCACAGTAAAATTACATTAAAATACACAAATGAAAAATCTAAACGATCTCTGACCTGAAGAGCGTACCTAACTAGTCGATTACAGGAGCAACGACCCCAAACTTTGATCTACAAATATTTTCAATCGACATTGATATAATTTTTTCTCTTGTTAGTACGTGGTTTATCGTTCAAGTTTGCAACAAAATAAGGAAAAGTTCATATGGACCACCTGTAGCATAATTATTTAACAATTTTTGCTGGAGTTGATTATAGACAAAATGCCACATCACAAGACTGCCAAAAGGGGAAAACACTTAAAAAAAACCAAAATCTGTTGATTTTTTTTATCATTAGTTCTGCAATTAAATTCCATAACAATGACGTCAATAAATCAGCCGATAACGTATTGGTTATTAGAATCTGCCCGCCAAACATTATGAGGCTATATTTACTATACCCGAGTTACACGTATGTCCACTGTTCCTTCGGCATGACCAGTGTTTGGTGTTCTAATTGTACAGCCTAGCCAAAATTACAGTATTTTAATTTCTCCAGTCCAATTTCAAAAAGCACAACTTGATAAAATCCGGTGAATGTGGCCAGACTTTTCTGGGATAAACATATAATTCAAATATTTATCAAATTACTTTTGTGCTTACCCAGGTCTCCAAAGAAAGGGGTCATGGCCTTGAGCAAGAGCATGCCTGAAATTTAAACATTTACGAGTTATTTCCCTTATTTAACCCGAAAAAAAGACCTTTCTTCTGCCAAGTAATTCGTAACTCGCACATTGGCGATTTTGACTTTTTTGATTTTATGCGAGACGACATTACATACTAATAATTAAAAATTTAATTTATCTATCATGCATTCTTTACAATTTGTTGTTCGACTTGAAAACAAAATATGGCTTTTAATATTCCAGTAAATTACTATTAACCAAGATATCCATACAGCCTTTATTATTATATTTATATCAACCCCTTTATTTATTAAACCTGACATATATTTAATGCTTCATACGCAAAAATCTTCGTTTACCCGTACACATTTTGATATAATAATTATAAATTATTTACCCGTTAAAATAATCCATTCGTTTATAATCATCTCTGTCTTTCCATTCACCTGAATAACTGTAAAGTGTAAATTTAAACTCTGAGCCCTTTACTGTATAAAAGTTTGGTGTCATTTTGATTAAAAAATAATCACGGTCATGTTGTGCAATGTTCCAAAATATTGAAACTATCCTTGTTAGTGAAATATTCCGATTAAAACGGAGACTCCTCTTTGATTACGCGACTGCTCTTAAAGAAGATTGAAATTTAAACCATTCATGGCGTTTAAAGCAGAAACCTTAAACATAAGCGCAGACAGGGCATTGTTATTGAAATCAAGAGTAGTGCCCCTTTTGTAAGTAGAGTTTAGACGCGTTTTACGATGGCTTAACCCAGAAATATCAAACAATATCTGCGTATTGGAAATGAATCAGCGAATCAATGTAAACATATTTTTGTGTGGAATTGTTCTATTGGTCGTCTACTTCGACATGGTAAAGTGATAGTAGACTTAAAATTTAGAAAATTCGTAGATTACAAACCTTGAATTTTGTTTTTTGGCTTTATTGGGTAATGTAGTGGAATACAATCTTTCTAACTCCCTTGCATCAGTGGTGATAGGAACTGCCATGATGACTCCATCGACGGAGCGGGACCTACTTCTAAATTCTGGAAGGCTTTCGCTTATTGTAACTTTTGGACTAAGAGGGCGGGGACCTTGAGTTGTTCTCTGAGATGTACCATTTCGAATGGCGAGTGGTGCATGTGCAGTTTTAATTTTTTCCATTGGTTTGCCATCAGGGAAAAACTCTCGATCTTCATACGCAAATGGCGATATAATACTGAAAATGTGATAAAGCAATAATATGATTTAATGAATAATTTTCTATAAAAACAAACCAGTCACGTTTACAGTTCATTATTAAACATGATGAGTGAATGAAAATGAAAACATGACCTACCCAAATGGACGATAGCCGTCGAAATCTGAATATGCCAGTGTGACGGTAGATGGATGCCTAAAACTGAAAATCATATGAAAATATAAATCTATATGACATCAACATCCAATATAAAAGTGGTAAATTTTAAAAAAGTACGAGAGTAATTACCATGATGTCATCACAGCCATCTTGGTATTGTGGCGTATCAAAAATAGAAATCTGCCAATCGATGAGCAATTATTCAATGAACAAATGTGACATTATTCATGCAAGTCATTAAGGAGAGGAACAGCATTGTCAATAGGATGAGCAGCGCTTGGTGTCCAGTTCCTAGTCCAAAATGTAATATTTACTTTCCAGTAAATCAGCAAATGTGAACGTACTATACTAAAGGTAGGAAAAAAATTTCACGGGGCCTCGAGTCTAAGTCGAGTCCCATGTCGCCGCACATCGAGTCCCGAGTCCAGTTCCAAGTCATTGACTTTAGTACCGAGTCGAGTCCCAAGTTTTCACAAAGCCCGAGTCCCGTTCAAGTCGCCAGTTCATCAAACGAATCAGCAATTCATTTCGAATAAGGTAAGTTAGAGTTATGCCCCCTCATCGCGGCATAAGCGATTTCAAGTAGCAAGTCGTCAAGTCAAGTCGCAAGTTGGGTCATTGATGCAACTTATGTCGGACTCGAACCCGAGTTGCCGGACTCGAGTTCCCATCTCTAGCGGATACCTGTATCAGTACTGTTATACGACTTTGAGGACTCATGGAGTATTTTGATTGTAATGATACCTATATTGATATCTGTAATTAAATTAATGTTCCAGGATGTGGTGAAAGTGTTTTTGGTTTGGGAGGCGGGGGGGGGGGGGGGGGGGGTCACGGTGGCTAAGTGGGTAAGATGCTGGGTCGCTAGCCTGGAGGTCGGGTGTTCGGTCCCTACATTGGCCGAGAAAGTTCATCCAGATTTTCCGACGTGGTTACCCCCCTTGTCAGTGATGCAGTACAGAGGGCCTGACAAAGACAGCTGTCTAGTCATTCGGATGGGACGAAAAAACGAGGGCCCGTGTATACATTGGCGTGCACGGAAAAGATCCCTTGACAGTTGGAATTCGATATAAGAGTAGGCCGAAGTGCCGCTGTCCGGACAAAGCACACTGTATGGCGTATGCCCGTCTTCATTAGCCCAGCTCGGAGCAGAACAGTAGGACGTTAAACCCCATTTCATTTCATTTCGTTTTCGTTTGGTGTGATATACAGGTCATCTTGACTGTACTAGACTAAATTCTAATGTTTAATCAAACCAGCGGTTGCCAGGCAAGATACACCCACAAGCGAAGGATACAGTACAAGCTAAAAAAAAACTCCCGCGATTTTCGTACAATCAGGGGCCATAATCCAAGAAGTTATGATCTGAAATGCGCGAATATCGAAAGGGACTGCGATCTTTGGGATATAAAGATATATCTTAAGTTTGCTCAAAATCGGACAAGAATTGTGACCTAGACTAGAGGGTCCACAATCTTCGTATTACAAATTGCGTACACAGAGCAGCCATTTTGTAGGGCAGTTTCGTTTCAATTTTCCCGAAATTCGAACTCAACCTTCATTATGGTGGAAAGGTGATATATTTAAACATTATGTTCTCTTAGAGGATCCACGAGCTAAAAATGGGATTTTGCGTAAAATCAGGGTCATAATCCAGGGAAGTTATGGTCTGATATGTGCAAATATCTAAAGGAACCGAGATCAAAATCTGACAACTTTTGTATTACATACTTTTACACAATTTGTGTTCAAGGTGCGGCCATTTTGTCGGGCATTTTACGAATTTCGAACTCTATTATCATCTGGGTGTAACGATGATATATTTAAACGATTTTTAAAATCGGATAAAAATTGTGACCTCTAGAGGGACAACAAGCTAAAATCGCGGTTTTTTCCGTACAATCAGGGGATATAATCCAGGAAGTTATGGTCCGTTATACGCGAATATCTACGGGAACCGGGATCTGTGGGATATAAACAAATGTTTTAAGTTTCATCAAAATTGGATAAAAATTGTGACCTCTAACAGGTCCACAACGTTGGTATTACATACTTTTACACAATTTGCGTATAAGGAACGGCCATTTTTTACGAATTCCGAACTCAATTATCATCAGTGTGTACCGGTGATATATTTAAACGGCTTTTTAAAATCAGATACAAATTGTGACCTCTAGAGGGACCACACGCTAAAAACGTAATTTTTCGTTCAATTAGGGGCCATAATTAGGAAGTTATAGTCCGATATCGAAGGGAATTATGATCGTTGGGTTATAAATATATATTATTGCAAGTTTCATCAAAATCGGATAAACATTATGACCTCTAGAGTGCCCACAAGCCAAAAACGTGATTTTTCAGGGGTCATAGTCCATAAAGTTACGATCCGCAATCCGATACATGCCAATATCGAAAGGAACCGGAATCTTTGGGAGATAAACATAAATTTTAAGTTTTGTCAAAATCGGATAAAAAATGTGACCTGTAGAGTGTCCACAAACCAGGGGCGACGACAATATACGTCCACATAAAAATGTGGGCGTATAGAAATATTAATGATATACCTTCTAGCGCGCTGTTTTCGTTTCTTTGATCTGTAGAGTAAAGCACCAATAATGGCCATTAAAACTATTACACACAAGATGGCAGTACCTACTCCAACTCCTAATAATAATTTATGTAAATCTGATAGTTGACCGGTGTGTATTACTGAAATATAATAAACAACTTAGTCATAATTATCACCAGTTTTACAATCTGAAAATTGCAAATATTGCAATGTCATCCTGATAAATGGAACTTCTGTTTGAAACAACTGTTTAAAGTTGGTATTTTAAGAGAAATAGTTAATCGGATCTGATTTATAATATCAGCCATATTGCAATGCAGTGTTAAAATCAGAAACACATAAACGAAACCAAATAGTAACGTGATTTTAATTGGATTGACCACCATTGATCCTAACCTAGCGTGCAGTGACGAAATCGCCAATATCGTGTATAATCAATTTCTACCAATTGTACCGATATGGGTAAGCATACACTGCCCTATCGCTCAACGCCTAACACCTTTTTTCAGACTCTTCAAGCCCGTGGAACATTCAAAAGATGAAATCAGAAATAAAACTTACAATTACAGTAGGGTTTGGTATAGTAATTCCACTCTCCATCCTGGGAACAAACTATCTGATCAGTTCCTATTAGAGTATAATTACCATAACAACTTAATTTGACGACTGTTCCAGGAAGCCTTTTGTAGGTTGATAGCCGAAGTTCTTTGATTGTATCGGCAGTTAATATGGTGGGCTGAACATTGGACGAGGTTAACATGGGACACTCTGAGGAAAAACAATTAAAACGTCCGTTAAAAGCAGTCAGTAAAAGATAACTAAGGAAAACTATCATATAACAAACCGTGTAGCACCTACATTGTTATGCATTCTAAACACATTCCGAACGGGTTCCTAATAATTGTAAACTTGGTCATTGTTCGGACATTTAATAACGCGCGAAGACTGGATAAAGAGACTTTATCGGCCGGTTTCTCGAACTGCACTTTCCTGCATAAATTCCCCAGAAAACTGCTTTGGCACAGTTGCATGATTACTGTAAGGAAAATCACCTTTAAGGGCAATGCAGGCTGCCTATCGAGAGGACACAGTGCCGAAACCGCCCGCTTTAGAATGGTGAATGACAGACACAATGCAAGCTCTTAGAACAGAAATAGTGTGGTTTGGGGATTACTGCAGCATACACTGTCGGGAATCACGGTGTAATGATGGACTCGGACACACATTATTGTTAATGTGAGCAATGCAGCCCCATGAATCAATCCAGAACTGACAAACTGATACACGTGTTTGTGTCATCAAGACTGGACTATTTGTAATGGTCTGTTCTGTGACAGTGATGCATACCAGATCAAAAAGCTTCAACACATTCAGAATGCGACTATTTGTTTCGTAGTATGAAGACAGCTTCCATGCAATCATACAGGAGCTCCAGTAAGATTTGTGTATATTTTTCAAACTAGAAGTACTATTCCCACGCTCTCTATTCGTAGCAAATCCCTCAATCCAAATTGGTACTGAGGTGAAAGCATATAATAGTATTCATTCATCATTTATCCGTCTACGCTGCAAGATACATCGTTTGAAGCCAACCAGCTTTACTTTCTTTTTGAACGTTCATACACATATATAAATTATTAGTTCATTCTCTTAATTGAAACAGCGTAGAAATAGTCAGGTGTAATAACTGGCCGCACCTGTACGTGATATTATGCTATAAGCAAGAAGTTAGGTTAATATAGTAATTAGCACTCTGATGATATCTGACACTGACACATACTGTCATTATCTTCACTAATGTGATTGACACATAATATAACACACAAGCTATCACCTTTAGTCAGATTTACATTACAATGAGTAGCCTATGTTAATTATAATATAAAGCAATATCAATTAATTGGCGTGTAATTCTTAAAAACTAATGTTTTAAATCACAAAATTTAGAGTAGAAACTATTAATATCCAACCAAGCCATCTCCCATTTTCGCCGCAAAGGATATTATACTCTTCAAAAAAAGGGGATATTAAGAAACAATACAAAACTGCGGAAATGCACTGCTTTTTTTTATTACGGGTAACCAGTGTATGTTAATAACAGGCCAATTGCCTACACATGAACATAAACAGTTCATATGGGCGGCTTATCTGACGGCCCCATTTCACTCGCAAAGAGATACATCGTCAAAAGTGAAAATGGACGTTTTTGATTTTTGTCTTAATAATGAGTAATTGCTCCACCAATCCTCAGACATTCAGCAATTCGTCGTGGCATGCTCCTAATCAACCGCCCAATCATGATTTGGGACAATCTGACCCACTCCTCTTGCAGTGCCACGACGTTGAAGTCGACGAACACGTCTCCTGATCAAATTAAACGCAACACACTAAAGCAAAGATACGCTAAACAGTAAACCTTATGCAAGAACCGATTGGAAAGCAAACATGGATAAATAAACAAGCACGCGGCAGTTTTCATCAACTCTTCCTTGAAGTGCCAGATTTGACACTGTGCGTGTCGCATGTGCAGCTCAGTGGTTCTGTTGGGGTGATACGTTCTTCATCTGTGAACATACTCTCAAAGCATGTCAAATGTCCATGACTATTTATCATATCGCAACCTGCATAGGTATTTGCATTTCAATATCCCCTACTTTTTTTGAAGAGTATATATACGAATTTAGAAAATATTTTTCTGGGGTTGGATAAACACCTCCATAAGTAATCGTACATGTACCCACACGTGTTCTAACAAAGGGCTACTTTTAAGAAAGACATATTTAGGTTAAGGCAAAATTTGGAAAATTTTCTGACCTAACAAGGGGAAGGAGTTTGATACTCGCATATTAATTGATTACCGATGACCCACTGAACGAGTCCCAATTAAACAATATAACCAAAGAAATTAATGCTAAACCAACGTTTTGTATAGTTCTATTGTATATATATATTTTAGTTTGCACTTTACCTACAATCGGTGTATGTACAATTACCCTTGTTTTCGCCGCTAAACCCATGTTAGATTAATACGTTTTATTTACCAAACCGTGGCGCTGATAAAATATTCGCACCTCGTCTGTCAATATTTAGCCTCAACTTGATTTGAATGTTTGTTGTACTCGGCTAAATATTGAATTTGTTGGTTATATTAACTTGCCGAACCCTGGACAGTTCTATTGTTTTTTGTTAAAATAAATCCAAGATTAAATTGGTCATTCCGATGTGTATAAATGTCACACCAATAGAATAACCAGAAAATACCATTTCAATGTCAATGGTTTTTATTTAAAATGACATCGGGACTAGGCCAAAAAAAAGGAACAAAAACCCCCCCAAAAACCTGCCCTTGCGGTTAAGATATTACCAAACCCCGAACGCAAATGCACCCGTTGACGTCTCTGTCAAATAGACACTATGACATCACAATTATTTCAGAGAGCTGCTTCAGAATTATTTCCCAAGTTAAATTTTTCAAAAAAGAACATTTGTTTTGGTATGAAATAGCATTGCAAGTTTCATATGTCCATAAAAATTATGCGACAACCACGGTAAACAGAATGTCTTACATGTAAATATACAAATAAGACATTTATCTGAATCACTTACCATATAAATTAGTGTTTGTAAAACTACTGACTGCCATTTCAAACTCTGTTTTAATTAAAAAAAACCAACCTGTCCTCTTTCGTGAAAAATATCTCTCAAACATCAAATAAACGTTTTACATAAAATATTGCAAACCTGCAGGAGCCAAGACTTGAACAACACCTGCCTCCATCATATTCCACAACTATTTCAAGTTGATCAAATATATAAAGACATAAACTATACATAAAGTACGTTGGCTGAACGACAAAAATTAATTTTAAAAAAAGAAAGTCTATGAAAAGAATATGAACATGAATGGCGAATGTACCTTAATGATGTATGAGAGATAATAGGGTGCCTCCATTTGTTATAAGAAGGAAATACACGAGAAGGTTAACTGAAAAGTTCCAGCAATTTCATTCAGATGCAATTCTATATTTAAGTCACGTATATTTGTTATTGTTTAAGATTAAAGAATTCAGAGTTTTTAAGATGTTTTCACAAGTAAACACTATGTAAAATAATTTTTTAAAGGCAAGCGTGTGATGTTAATAGTCTCATGGTAGTCTATATCTAGTACTCTATGTTTGGGGGTACAATTGTTGAAATCGTAATACGTGCTACATACTAATACTTCTTCAAATGCCCTAAACACTAGTATGCAGTCTACAAAAAGGTTATGTTTGGCTATTTATTTTTTAAAAAAAACAAAACAACCCCCCCCCCCCCAAAAACAAACATATTATTAAATGTTATGTTTTGTTGTGAAATATTTGTAGAACTATAGGTTACTAGCTAAGAAATAAACAACTTCTATAAACCACGATTTAGTTACTACTGATACCAGCATCGATATCATCATTTATACGAGGGGGGTTGGATGGCCGAATGGTTAGCACGTGCGTGCTGTATCATAAGGACTGTCATTGAGTCAACTGGTGTGGTTTCGAATCCCCGGTTGTACGTGACAAGGAGTAGGGTCGCCTGTCCAACCTCGTGGGTTTTCTCCGGGTCCCCCGGTTTCCTCCCACTGCTAAAGACCCCTATGCGCAAGCGAATTATTGAAATAAAATTAAACCATATGTTAGTCCCGAAATGACCTAGTTTGTGTCGAGTGGACGTTAAACCCCATTTCTCTCTCTTTCTCTCATTTATACTATAATGCTACTTGAGGATCAGCATTATTGATGAACACCATAGATCCACACACCATCACTGGTTATACCATCATTTTATAACATAGTACTGCCGATTCAAAATCAACGTTAATGTTCATTAACTCATCTGATATCAATACCATCGGTAGTATATCAATAGCCACTTCTGTTGTATCTATGACAGATTAGGTAATTAACAAAAAACGACGGGTTATAGTTTTTCTCAAACTCTTTCCTTGTGCCCCTTATCTATCAAATAATTCACTGTTACCGGTTATGTCCAGTTAAAACAAGCGGTTGCCATGCATAATAACCCCACAAAAATGTATGGAAGAGGTAAAATTCAACAGGGCTCGTCCTCTCATTCAAGATCTTTTGATCCTCAACCTATAAGTTATCAGAATGGGACAACAAATGTAGCCCCTCTGGGGAGCTAAAAATTCATACACATTTCAAAGCTTGCGTAAAAGGCAGGGGCTATAGCCTTACAATGTGAGGTCTGCTGCGTAGCAGAGCTCATCCAAGAACTTTTGATCCTCAACACATGGTTAACATGCATTATGCAAGAGCTAAATCTGCCTATTGCAGGTCTTTCTTTAGGCCTAAAATGTTTTCTAAAGTATTAATTAGACATTAATTAACTGATCCAGGCCTTAATCAACTCTCGATGGCATCAGATTTCTCCGATATTAAATAGATAAGTGATAATTTGATTTAATCAAATATGGAGGACCGAGACTTAGCTTCGATCAACCAATACGGTGGTTGAAATTGTTGCACACGTCTGTCAAACCTTCAAAGGCTAATATCTTCGCTTGCAATAGAGTAATTTGAATGAAATTTTCAAATTATTCATTTTACATCATCTACTTCCGAACTATTATAGGAAGAATGGCTAGTTCTTTATCAAAATCTTACATAATGTATCTTTAAGTTTCATCTCATGAATCGGACAAAAATTATAGCCTCAGGAAGGTCCACAAAATTCAGTCATATTTCACATTTTGCGTAAAAGGCAGGGGG